ACAATTGGATATGTCGAATTTGGGTGTAATAAATTTTAAATATATTTTTAGTTTTGTTAAAAACTACTTTTTAGTTTGAGGTTATGTTAATGGATATATAATATAAAAATAAATAAATTCGTGACAAAGTTTTTTCTTCGATTAAAAAAATAAATTTCAAAAATCTATAAAAAAAACAAAAGAATATTTTTATTGAAATTAACAGCAATATATAAATATAATTTAAATAATATTAATTACTAATTATAAAATATATTAAATTGTAATTAGTAAAAATTGTAAAAATATTTGTACACAATTACAAAAGTAATTCGCAAAAGTATTTCACAAAAGTATTTTACAAAAGTGTTTTACAAAAGTATTTTACAAAAGTATTTTACAAAAGTATTTTACAAAAGCATTTTACAAAAGTATTTTACAAAAAAAAGAATTTCACAAAAGTGCAACAACTATAAAAGTACACTGTCAACCGCAAACGACCATAACCTATACGTTTGTCAAGTAGCGCTGTAAAGTCGCTGGCCTGAGTCTTGAAAAACGGTCTAGATAAGACGAACTCGACTACGTCCATTGAAACGCTTCTTAGCGAATAGCAAGACCGACTAGTTTAGACGGGCTTGCCTATGACTGGAAAGACTATTTCTAGACGCTAGACTTCCACAAGATTTTTCCACACGGGAAGTCGTCCGCCGTATTGGATTCGCCATTTTGAATTTTGGAAAATTTAAAATTCAGATTAGTAGTCGCAGCGACCCCAAAAACCTTCGAGTGAGAAATATCAGCCAGATTTAAACACATCTATTAGTTAATACTTACTTTTCTTCACAAACTATGCGTCGGACAGTTTAGGTTTATATTCATTATTAATTATAAAGTTTTAATGAAGTGTGCAAAGGTTAACGATTTTTCTGTAGACTTTTATAATGCATGAGAAGAGATTACAATGAGTTGGGAGCATTTAGAAGCAAAATTCAACATGTGCTTTTCAAATATGTGGTTTTTTGATATGAGTTACGTTTTAAAATTTAATGTTTGAAGTCATTGCATTCTTTGTGTAAAGGAGGCACACATTCCTGTATGGGTTCAAATTACTTCTTATTAAGCAGATAATATAATCCCGTTGTGCCGTTACTCAAAAACCTTCGTTAAAAAAGTTATATCAGTTTAACTGCTAACTTGTAGAAATTTTGAAAAAGTTGTCTCGCAAGTTTGAAGCTACATAGTTTTTATTCAATTTAAGGCACATCATTGTTTCATGGATTTTTTAGTTCTTTACACTCCCACCTACTTCTATTGCAAGCCACAAAACACACAATGTTTCGTTAAAAAAGTTACAGTCTATAAACTAAAAAAAACAGTCAATATCACACACTAGAAACTGTCGATTTCACCACTTTAACTTACGTTCGTCATTTCCTACAGAATTAAAAAAATTATATAACGCATGATTCATTTAAAAAGCCCTATAATTGGTCAAATTATGGTATTGAAAAATTATTAAAAAAATTCTTAAGGTATCATAATGAGCGATAACATAAAGTTTAAAAGTTCTAGAGATATGCCCATATAACTGGGGACTCACCACCTATTTGACGAGGACGCCTCGTCTCACAATTCAAGATTTATTACATTTTAAAGTTTGATTTCACAAAAAAAGAAATAGATTAAAACTCCAACTACACTCTACGGACACCATAATGAGAGTAAGAGTAAAATGGCTGACGAGTCAAACTTGAAAGCGTCGCTAAACATCGGCCTCTCTTTTCGGTGTCATTGAGATCAATTAATATTTAATAATATATAATAATCGCGACCGATAATAATCGATACGCAGCCGTTGGTAATATAGATCCCTGCACTATTCGATGTTAAATTGATTGATGCTACACGGAAAAAACAAACTAACTATTTTAGCACCAAACTGCTTTATCCTTTATTAGTATGCAATTTCGTTTACCTATTAAAGTATGAAATAATGGTTTTTTAGTTTAAAGTAATTCCATACTAAATAAGTATAATGGTTATACTCTTTTAGTAATAGTGACGTACTTTAAAAGCATAAAGTTGATGCCCGCGAAGTACGACATATAGTCTACCTAAAATAGCAAGAGCTTCTTCCTTTTTGGTGTATAAATTCTTGCAACCTGCGTTTTGGCCACGCCTCCCTCTCTTTCCAACCATTGATATATCGATATAGGCCAAAACGCAGGTTGCAAGAATTTATACACCAAAAAGGAAGAAGCTCTTGCTATTTCAGGTAGACTATATGTCGTACTTCGCGGGCATCAACTTTATGCTTTTAAAGTACGTCACTATTACTAAAAGAGTATAACCATTATACTTATTTAGTATGGAATTACTTTAAACTAAAAAACCATTATTTCATACTTTAATAGGTAAACGAAATTGCATACTAATAAAGGATAAAGCAGTTTGGTGCTAAAATAGTTAGTTTGTTTTTTCCGTGTAGAAGTCCATAGGAAATTGGCTGCCAGTAATACTTTGACAGATCGTTAACAAAACATCAATTTCGTCTTGCTACTGTTCTTAAATATTCGGGGCTCTCATCCAAATATATAAACCAGAAAGCTCTTTCCTTGATGACTTTTATTTTTAATAATAGATAGTAATGTCCTCAACGTCTTTGTGACCCGGCGAGAATCCTCAATGCCTCGCGAGAGTTTTTATAACAGAACGAAAGGACAAATTAGAATCGAATTTATTTATTACAGGTCGACTATTAATCTGACGACAAGACAAAATTAAGAGAGAGAGAGAGAGAAAGAGAATCAATTTATCGTCTTACCGACCCAGGTCAAATGATTCTACGGAAATTCCATACGGAATTGAAAGTATTTCTTTCGTAATTTTGCGAATTTTTTTGGAAGAATTTCATACAGAATTGCACAAAATTTTCAATAAAATTCCACAACTTTATTTTTTGCTGATTTTTTATGATTTTAAAATAACTGCTGCTACTATAACGAAAACTAGTCGACGATGATGTTCCTGGTGGATATAATATAGAATTTATGATAGATTAATTAATATCTAGTCGAACTTATTTGAGAGGTCAATAAAACGTTTTCCAAAAGAAATTTACTATTTTTCAGTCAACTAACTAACGGTAGTTGAATTTCTCGACTAATTTTTTTCAGTGTGTCCACCAGTCAGTTATTTTAAAATTACAAAAAAATCAGTAAAAAATACACTCAATAAAAAAAACTAGTAGATTTGACTACTTTTTAACTACCCTGCATAGTTCAATAGGTCCTTAACTGAATTTAAAAAGTTGTATGTACTATTAAAAAGTAGTTAAAAGAACTAAGAATTTAGTTGGGTCAAGGAGATTTTGTAATTGTTTTAATTTTTGAAGTTGATTTAACTACTTTTGTTAAGTACAATTAACTACTAATTCTTAACTCCATAAAAAATAGTTAAATTGACTACACGCACATTATTAAAATAACCAAAAAAGTAGTTACTTTTACTACTTTCAAGTCAGTTAACTAAAGGTAGTTGAGGATTTCGGCTAAATTTTTTTCAGTGTACAGTTGTGAAATTCTAACAAAAATTTTGTGCAATTCCAATAAAAATTTTGTGCAATTCTGTATAGAGATTATGTGTGTAATTCTTACAAAAAATTCGCAAAATTACAAAAGAACTTCTTTCAAAAATTTTGCGGAAATTTTTGCGGAATTCCGTATATAATTTTTACGGAATTCCGTGTGAAATTTCCGTGAAGTAGTTTCCGTAGAATCGTTTCACCTGGGGAGATAATTTTCGATATAATTAATTTACTGCTATTGAACACTATAAGCTACTAAAACCGCCACGCTAATGTGCCTCGTGTTTTAATAGACGCCGGTTACCTCGAGCCAAACTAACCTACACTGGAACTATTGAGCACGGGTGCTCCGTCTTCTGCTATGATATGGCGCGAAGCTTATTCAAATTCAAATTTCTAAAATATGTCTAATAAAGAAAATTAAAAAACAAATCAAACAATGCAATAATACATAATTATAAATTCAAAATATAGAATAATATATTTTTTGACGTGACATTTTGATTCTTCACTAAAATTAGTAGTACTAATATTAATAAAAGTAAATTAATTAAGTTAAGATTATTGATTTTGAACAGAAAAAAATTAGCCCAGATTTTTTCTGTGTAACACCGAAGACAAATATTTTTCTTACTTAGAAAAATTATCTTATAAAATTTAATTAATATACAGTTTAAAAAGAACCATAAGAAGTACTGTGGTTGCTTCAGGAAGCAACGGAGAGATGACAAGTTTTTAAAAAAATTTGAGATTCATTTGTAAGTATATGTTATCTGACCTGTAACTTTAAATTTAAAAAAATTTCGTTTTATATGAAATTCTTAAAACTAGTCCAAAAATTAACCTTCTAAAATGGATTCCACCTTAATGGGACCTTAGTATTAAATTTTATTATATCAGTACCTATTATACTTAGTTTAAAGCTTTTAAAAAATCTGGAGATTTATGTCGCGAAAGTGTTTTAAACCTTTATTAACCTTCAAGTTTCAAGTAATATTTAAGCTTTAAATGAACTTCTACTTTTTAGAGAATCATGAAACTTGATTGAGCTTGTAGCTCTAAGCTTTTATTGAGCCTTTAGGATCATTTCAACTTAAACCTTTGGAAAGTCTTCAACGAGTTTTAAGTTTTAATTAAGAACACATAGGTAGAAAATTGTATTTTGTTAAACTAAAATAAAAAGTAGATAAATTTAAAAAATTTTTAATAATATAAATTTTTCTTTATAATGAAAATTATTTTTTTCGGTGTATAAGACATAATCTACGTAACAGTTGATTTTTGCTAAAAATATATATAATTTTCTTTGCAGAAGTAATTAAAATAGCAAAGTTTGCCTTTGATAATAATAATAATGATAATTATTACAATTGCGGGTAATTTATCGAGCATATTTTAATTTACAATTCAGTTTAAAGATTTATTATTACAGGAGAATATTGGGTGGTTGGAGTGGATATTGAACAATATGATCAGCATGAACCTGATAAATATTTACGTGGCTTGTGGCAAAAGCAGACTGATTTAAAAATGTTTAAAGCATTTCGAAACTATTTCAGTATTGTTGCCTCGCCGCCCGTTAGTTTCGATAATTTCACAACTTTAATTAATGAATATAGACGTAAACCACCTTTCAACTTTAGCAATCCAGTGGACAATCTTGGCGGAGTTGTTCAGGTGGCTAACTAATTTTTCTTTAAAGAAATAATATTTATTTTTATTTATTTATAAAGATATATTAAATTGGCACTATTATTTTCCACACATTACCATAGTTGAGTGCACTCGAATATATTTTAGATTCAAAATGAACTATTAATTGGTTCTAAAATAAATTTAAATCATAGAGGCAAGAACTGATACGGTTAAATATTTTTTTAATTTATAACATAACTTTCAAAATGGAGGATTAAAATATAAAATGGACAAAACAAACGACAAACAAGACGCTTGTGCTCTTACATACAAATAATTTTTTCTTTTTACTGAATTCAAAAAAAAAAAATCTTACCGAACAAGATGTTCAAAAACACAATTAAAAGAAAATCTTTAATTAAAACTTTAATGATGATATTAATCCTTTGGAAATTTGCGACAAAAGAGGACGATTCAAGAATTTTATTTATGATGGTTGCCATGTGGTTACCATGTACCGGTTTTAATTTGTCTTCTGCTACTAAACATGATTTTATCGTGTGATGATCCAGGTACGTGTTTTAAGGGTAATTTAGGGAGCCTTTTTTATTTCTTGCTAATAATTAATTATTATTTAATCCAGATGTTATGAAAATGAAATTAATAATCTGATAGTCTCTCCTCTATTATTCTCGAATATTATTTTGTCAAAACTATGTCACAAAACACAATGGGACAATATTATAATACTCGCTATTATTTTACTAAACACAAAAAATTAACAATTTTAACCTCTGTGACAGTAAAGATTATTAATTATTATTTGATTGTTGCTATGGAAAAAGACAAAAAAGAACTATTTCAAACAGATTTATGAAAGTATTTTATATGATATTTAAAAAGCAATAAATGTGAGCTTTTAATCCATGTTTTGCAAATAATGTTGAACAAACACAAGATGGACAAAAATGACAACAGACATTTTTTTAGGTCTTTTAACGAGGAACAACTTTTATCTGAGACATTTTTTTATATCTAGTGTATTTTTTGAGAAAAATGATGTTTTTCTTTTAAAAAATATTAAAAAAATTTTTTCTCTTGTGCCAGAATCGGGCACAAGTTAAATTCTTGTGGGCAATATTCCTCCCTATGAACACAATTCCCAAAAAAATTTTGAGCAAAAAAAAAAGGTGGGGTTTTTGAGTAATTTCAAATGAAAGTTTTTTAGTAAAATGGCCGCCATTTTGTTATTTTTAAATATTTTTAAATTTTCCAATGGATTTCGAAAGAAGAATAAATGTCCTTTCAGACATAAAAAGGAAAAAGTGAATTATCTTAATTACTCAAAAAGATACATTACTTTTAAAATTTTTTCTCTTCATTTAAAAAAAAACGAAGTTCTCGACTTATATATTTGAACTCCTTATAACTTAAAGAAAAAATTTTTTTCAGCAAAATAAAAAAATACGTGTCGTCTAAAATTCATTGAAGAACAACATTTTGAAGGTGAAAATTATTTTCAGCTCCGACCAAGTCAAGCCTGTCTGATTTGAAATGAATTCGTATAAAAACCGAATAAATAAAATTTATTTAATTAATTTTTTTTAAATAAAATAAAATTTGTGAAGTGTAAAATTAATAAAAATTTTACGTCACACCTTGGAGTAATGTCCTTGAAGGACTGAACTCTTAAATCCGTTTATTAAATCTTTCTACTTCCGTTTCTACTTCCCTTGCTTTTTTATCTTTACGTTTCTTTGTAATAATAATGAGCAGTAACTTTGGGTTTTTGACATTAAATTAGCACTTAATTATGGTCTGTGTGAAAAATAATTTTGTCAATGTGGTTACCAATTTCGCTTATCCAGTTTGAAATGTACAACAGATTTTTATTTATTTATTTTTGTTTATAAAATTACAACTTAATTATTTTGATTTTAAGAAATTTATTTTAAAAGTAATTCCACAATAAATAATTACGATTATGACTTATTTATGTTACGTACGTATGTGATGTAAATATATAGTCGCATATTTTCGAAATTCTTCTACTTTAAAATAAAAAATTATGATACATTTTATCGTCGTGGAATCATCTATTTGAAAACTTTTTAATGAGTGCATAAATATTGATTCTGTCACATTGTGTTACAAGGCAGATTGTACCGGAAACGGCATATTTGTACGACGCAGTTCATCTGTACGAAAAAACATTACTTCGAGCGTTAGAGGAAAACAGAGACCCTTTAAATGGCAGAGAAATGATATCCGCATTGCACGGTGTTCATTATGAGAGTGCTATGGGGTATGTTAAATTTAGGTTTAATAAATATATGTTATTAAAAATTATTCATTACTATTTGAATTAATTGCCCAGTGGGAAAAGCATGATTGGCTGAATATTGGTCCAATATTGGGAGCACTTTTGCCAATCTTGGCCCATTATTTTAGCCAATATTGGACCAAGTCTGGGAGTGTTTAATGCAATAGTATGCATTCTTAAGTAAATACATTTTTAAGTAAATGTTTATACTTACAGTTTTTCCTTCACGCAATTTGAATTTCGCGCTACGTTAACTTTCCAACTATTCATCAGATGGCAGTGTTTTTCTCTCTCACAAACAACATAAATCGGTTAGGGTATAAGTATCCGCGATATGTACAGAATCTTCACAATATCTCTTCACAGTAAACTTGGTTGTCTCTTTTTCTATTGCAACGTTTTGATGCACATAAGTTATATCAAAAAGAGATCGTTTTGTGTATCATTTTTAGAAATGATACACGAAACGGTCTCATTTTTTGATGCAAAAAATTTAATCAATTTATATCAATCATGGCCGAATTGAATCGACTCAAAATTGAACGAATTTTTTTCAGATATTTTGGTAATAGTACAATTGCGGAGACCATTTCACTATTTAATTTGAAAATGAAAATAACAGAAAATCAAAGACAATGTGCAATTCGATAATTAAAAAGTGACAGCTTATAAACATAACCTAAAATGCATGAGAAAAAATTTGTCGATAAAATCAATGTAGCCGAGCTTTTTAGAAGGTAGATGGCAGCACTCATCTATTTTCTTTCTTTAAATTTTTTCTGAATCGTTTTTATAAAAAGCAAAACTGCCATCTACCTTCTAAAAAGCTCGGCTACATTGATTTTATCGACAAATTTTTTCTCATGCATTTTAGGTTACGTTTATAAGCTGTCACTTTTTAATTATCAAAATTATTTTATTGTCATTGATTTTCTTTTTTTCATATTCAAATTAAATAGTGCAATGGTCTCCGCAATTGTACTATTACCAAAATATCTGAAAAAAATTCGTTCAATTTTGAGTCGATTCAATTCGGCCATGATTGATATAAATTGATTAAATTTTTTGCATCAAAAAATGAGACCGTTTCGTGTATCATTTCTAAAAATGATACACAAAACGATCTCTTTTTGATATAACTTATGTGCATCAAAACGTTGCAAAGATTTGATGCAATTTTTGGTCTCAATTTGAGACTTTTAAGAAAACTGTGTTTTATTTAGCTGATAATAATTGTTAATGCCTAGAAGGATGTTCGAAAATATTTTTTTCTTTTTCTCCATTTATTGCGGAAATAAGGGAAGGGAAATAAGAATGTTATTATATATAATAAAATATAATATATAAATATAACAAAAAATTTTATTATATTTCAGTTTTCATAATTAATTTTTTTAATTGATTGGTCTCTACACTCCCAGTCTTGGATCAATATTGGTAAAAATAACTGGTCCAATATTTATAGCCAATATTCAGCCTTGGCAATTTATATTTTGTAAAAAAGAATTGTTAAAGAATAAATTTAAAATAGCATTAAAAAATTATTAGAATTTAAAAATTATTTAATAAATATTTTTTGAATATTTAATATAAGTATATTTATAAAATGAATTTTCGACAAAGTTGATAAATATTTTTTTTTCATTTCGAAGTATATGTAACACTTCATTAGAATGATTAATTTACATGAAACTGTTATCAGATTACATGATACTATATTTTATATTAAGTGCTGGTCATACACACAGCAACAGGTAGATTGTTAAATTGGTAGCTTTGATGTCTATGTGCAGGTACATGGTGTACATGGATGAAAATGGCGACGCAGAGGGCAATTATACTCTAATCGCTTTAGATAATCGATCCCCAAAGGGACATGGGCTTTACCCGATTGCACACTTTATCGGTAAAGAGGAAAAGACAAATCTGCCGGTAAGTTTTACGCATTCATTATTAAATCTATTTTATGTCCCAGAAGTTCTGAACGTTCAAATGAACGAAATCATTTTTTTTTTAAATTACTACACTACAATGAAAAATAAACAAATACCTTAAACATTTTTTTATGTTATTAATTTTTTTTAAAAACCAATATTTTATAATAAAATTTGAACTTGCAGAAAGAGAAAACAAATTCGTTAATTTTAACGTTAAAAACTTGCAGAATATTCTATTACTTTAAATAAAATTTTATTTTTTATAAAAAATTATTTATAAAAATTATTTTATAAAAATTATTTTATAAAAAATAATTTTCATTTTACAATTTAATGAAATGGAAAATATCTATTAACAAAAATTTTTCTAACGATTAAATAATTTTTTATTTCGGTAAACTTAAACTTTAAATAAAGAAAATTAGAAAATTATTTGTTCCTATTTAATGAATAATAAGTTACAAATTAAAATTGATTAATATTTCGTCTTTTTAAGAAATACATAAAATAATAATAAAAGTAATAGTAATAATAATAATAAAGGTGATGTAAAATAAAAGTAATAGATGTAAGTAGAAAAGTACAGTTTTGGTCAGACAACGGAAATATGTATTTTATTTAACAGTCAAATTTTGCATGTAAAATTAAAAAAATATATACTCACGTTATTTATGTCTAAAACAGGTCAATACACAAATTGCAACTAATTTAATTACTATTAATAATTATTCAATTATTATTATAATTAAATAATTTTTATTAAATAACTTTTTTTCAATTGACGCTCATTCTTTTTCTCAATGGTTTTTTAGTAATAAATATGTGAGGAATTTAATTTAACTTAGTTACTTAAGGCCAGGTCCATGTGAGGCAGCACCATCTATATTGATACTAAAATTTTTGAAAATTTTCAACAGCCTTTTCTTGAAAACAAGATGGTAAAATGCTTTTTCCTTTATGGATAATTGATTATTGGCAAGATATACACCAGCTAAAACTTTTTTTGAGTTAAAATAATAAAAAAAATTTCATGTCAATAAATTAAATATGAGCACTTTTTTCAGAAAAACTGTAACAGTACTTTCTCAGAAATTACAATCAAAAATGCAATTTCCATTTGGAAAATTAATAAACGCTAAAAAATACACGACCTAAGATTTACCAATCACGAAAATAACAAAAAAAAAGATTTTCCACTTCCCTCGTAAAAAAAAAAAAAAAAGCCCTTTGGTAGATTATGTATTTCAGGTGGTTAGCAACAGCGCCAATCTCCTCCTTTCGGCAAAACTGCGAAACGTCTGGTGACATATAACCTGCCAAACGGCTGTCATAATGAGTAAAATATGTTATGTTAAAATACTTTTTTTTTGTTATTTTCGTGATTGGTAAATCTTAGATCGTGTATCTTTTAGCGTTTATTAATTTTCCAAATGGAAATTGCATTTTTGATTGTAATTTCTGAGAAAGTACTGTTACAGTTTTTCTGAAAAAAGTGCTCATATTTAATTTATTGACATGAAATTTTTTTTATTATTTTAACTCAAAAAAAGTTTTAGCTGGTGTATATCTTGCCAATAATCAATTATCCATAAAGGAAAAAGCCTTCTTGTTTTCAAGAAAAGGCTGTTGAAAATTTTCCAAAATATTAGTTTCAATGTAGATGGAGCTGCCTCACTTGGACCTGGCCTTAAAACTAAGTTGGGAAATGGTAGTAAAAATGAATGAAAAAAATATAAAATTTAATTTATTTATTAATTTAAATATTGAATAATAATATTTTTAAATTATTTTTACAAAAAGATGTTTTCACATACATGTGTTTGAAATAATCCTTCAATGTAAATAGTTTTAAAGTATCTTTTCTATATTGGCTTTTTAAAATCCTTTATTTATATCCCTTGGGTATCCGTTTGACTTTCCTGCAGTAAGGATTTTATTGTTTTTTTTGTGACATTGATTTTATGTCTTCTAGAAAGGCTGAGTTACATGGATGATTTTTTTTTATAAACATTTCATTATATTTTATTTGTATTAACATTTTGATTGTTACTAATTGCATTATTGTTTTAACATTTAAAATTAAAATTTTTACATACAGGGTGTCGATTATGTAATTTGATTTCAAAATCAAATTTATTTTTACGAATTCATTTTTTTTATTGCAATTTTACGTCAAATTTAAATTAATTTTTTGATTGCAATTTAAAGATCCAAATTTTTTTTTTTTTGCGAATTTGCAAGAGCTTAATCTGTGCTTTCTTCGGTCGCAGAAATTACATTTTATCAGAGAAATAACTTGGCTGGGAAATGGACCACCAGTGGCGGAGCCCAACTGCGGATATCATGGAGAAAAATGCAACTGTAAGTTGTACATTGAAGTAAAAGTAAAGTCATGTTATATATTCAAGCCATTTTATCAAGTAATTCAAGTTTTCCTGGGATTTTTACAAACTGTAAGTTTAAGAAAATATCAGGCAATCCTGGGACATATTTATGCTAATACACGTATATATGTAACCCTCATTTTATATATATATATATATATATATATATCACGAGAGAGAGAAAGAGATAAAGGGGTGGGACTCTATTGTATTCTGCAGAGACTTGAGAGTTCAGAAATGTTGCCTTCCCTCTTCTCCTTGGAAAAGCAATTCTCGTGCTTCTTTGCATTTGCAAATGCTTTCGGCACTTTTAGTAAAGTGCATAGCGTAATCTCTGATATACAAAGTTTCTTGATAGATTCTATTGAACCCGTGTATTCACGAAGAATTTAAAAGGATTGTTCTCAAAACTTTTACCAACTTTATATATGGGCAAATCCACAGAACCGGCCGATTTCATGTTACTCATATATTTTTCTATTTTAGAAGTATTATATTAATTATTTTCATACTTCAACCATTTTGTAATATCTCTGAGAACCTATTGAAATAAGAAAATTGAATAAATGTGAACCTTCTAGTCTTTTATAAAAAATAAAATCGAATTAAGTAACTTAAAAAATGAAATTTACGGTGTTACTCCAGGTATAAATTTTAATTCTTATAGGTATAACTTGTTCGGCATAGATCCGAACAATTCCAAACTGTGGTGAATTATAGTTTACTTATTGAAGAATGTTTTGAAAGTAATAAAAAATATGTGCTCTTAAATAAAAAGAAATGATAGTCGTTGAAAGTAGCGTTACTCATTATTTTATAATAATGAAATGTCTATACATTTTTGTAAATATCTTTTGCGGCGATTATTCGATTTGAATTTTTCAAATTGGAGCTTATTGCTTGTGAACAGACGAACAAATGTATGTATCATAGAATAGAGTGCAATCAGAATTAAAGAAAATATTCCAATAATTATCACTCTATGTTTAAGCGTGAACCATTTTCAACTTAGCCTTTTTTCAGTAGCACAACTACAGGATAAAATATGATGAGTTGAAAACATGTGTGATTATATAAAGACATTATTATAATTCTTGTATGCAAACGCCAAATTATATTTTCAATTTATAACGTCTAAAAATTAAAAATAAAAAAAAATTTGTCGAAATTTAACTAGTTAATCGTGAAAAATGAATTATCCTTTCATTTGTTTTATTTTCAAAGTTATATCAAAATCGATGTCAATAATGTCAGTTTGTTGGTTAAAATAGTTAATATCAAAATTAGTAAGTAAACAATTTAATTTACAGAAATAAAAAATTAAATGCTAATAAATAAAATATATAATAAAATATGATAAAATATAAATAATTTATTTTTGATAATTAAAAAATTAATTATTTGTATTTTATCATATTTTATTATTCAAAATGTTTTGCACATATTTCAAATAATATATAAAAAAAAACAAAGAAATGCCATTTTTAATTATAATTTCCAGAAGAAAAATAATATTTTCGTTTTTGGCTTTTAACTCAAACGGCATTAAAATAAAATGAATCACGCAAGAAGATAATTGTTCTTGAATATATTTTAAAGAAAGTAAACCATAAATAAAAGGTGTGCTTGCTATTTGGAAAATTTTCATCTTGATAAGTAAAAATCGGCCGGTTCTGTGGATTTGCCCATATACTTTCAACTAAGATAACAGTTTTAAGAGAATTATTCCAAACGATTTTTAAATTGTTTTTATAATTAATAAAATCAAACAAGAAAATATTTATATTTTACCGAATTTCATTTATAAACAAAAAATTTCTATATAGGTATTATTGGGCTATAGGTTAAAATAAAAATTTTATTGAATAAAATTTGATTCACTGAAATTTTGAACTCAATAAATGAATTTTATGAAATAATTTTAAACGCCCTCAATTTAAATCAATTAGTCATAGTGATTAAAATTTTATTAATTTAACTCAATTGGTTTAATGTAAATTCATTTTGTTTCCAATTACGTATAGCTTATACTGGTGAAATAGTAGGAGGAACCGTAGGCGGATTGATGCTGGTTTTATTAGCAATATTGTTAATCCTATATAGAAACTGGAGATACGAACAGGAACTTGATTCACTTCTTTGGAAAGTCAATTATAAAGATATTCAATTAAAGGAATCTAAAGACGTCACATCGAATAACGATCAAATAGTTAAGGCAAATTCAAAGGTGAATTTTCATAAAATTAATTTTGTTTTACAATATTTGCATTATGAATTATATAATAATATTTTATAAAAATTTTGAACAAATTAAAAAATTTTCAAATTAATTTTAAAAAAATTAATTTTTCTAATTAGAAATTATTATAGATTACTATATATATTATGGTTTCAAAATTATTTTTCAAATTTATTTAATAGAAATTGAAGTATTGTCAAATGTTAAAATAAAATTCATTTCTTTTTCGGCAGAATTTAACCGTAAATTATTGAAGATATATATTTGCAGAGTCAGCCTTTCGTAAGAACAAGTCAAGTTTCGCTGAGTTCAAATCCGGATGCTGATTTTCGTTATTCGATGATTTACACGCAAGTAGGCGTTTATAAGGGTCGAATTTTTGCAGTGAAGAAAGTGAGGAAGAAATCAATAGAGATTACAAGAGAAATGAAAAAGGAGCTAAAAGTGGTTTGTATAAAAAACAAATACTTCAACACCCCTCGTAGAAAAATAATTTTCCAAATTATTTTTATATAGATTGTGACTTTCTAAAAAAATACTTATGAAAATTTATATTTCTGAAATAAAAAAAAAATTGTAATTAGTAAAACAACTGAATTTTTAAAAATTGATATTAAACTTATTTATTTGCATATATATATATTCCTCTTATATTTTACTTAGGGGAGAGTGGATAGCAGTGAAGCACTTTTTTCAAAACCGTAGTAATATTTGTAATGAAATTATATTCTCAGTTAATTTAGAATCAAAATAAAATATTATACAAATAAAATATTGATAACAAAATTCAATTAATCAATTTAATTTTTGTGAACTATAAATATTATATTATTTTAAAGCAAAATGGAAAATATTAATTAAATAATTTTTATAATATGAGTTATAGATTTAATCATAATTGAATATAAAAATTTGAAGTTATTAAAACTTGATACATTCATAGGGTCAGCCGGGGTAAATCCGAACGCTAATTATTTCAGCTTAATTAAAATTTTTAAAAATAAGTTAGACAGAAGAATTTTTACCTCAGATCCTCTTCATGAGATTCTAAGTATTATCCCATTTTTCGTTTGTTAATTAGCAACAGCATAAACAAAGATAATGAGTATTGCAAAAAATATTGAAAATCAAAGATGACACTCTTTCAGTATTTTGTCTCGTATTTGAAGAAAAAGAAACTAAAAATTCATTTTATTATTTATAATTGTTTGTTATGAATACTAGAACAGAAACTATTTTTGAAGTTTGCCTTCTGTAAAATTTTATTAATAATATCAGATCGTTCACCGTTTTAGGGTCGCTGATTACGAAATTGGAGTTAGCAAATTTGATCATTTTTAAAAATAAGTTTTAGGAAAGTCCGCCATATTGAATCCGCCATTTTGAATTTAAAAAATTTGACTTTTATTTTTTTATTTACATTCAATCACTCCAAAATACTTTCTGTACCAAGTTTTGCAAAAATCCGTTATGATTTGATAAAGTTATTGAAGGTTTTAATTGTGTAATGCATTTTAATTTTTAACCTGTTTGATTTTTGTATTTATATATGATGCATTATTACATAATAGGTTTATTATCGTATTTTTTTGAGTTTTTATATATGTTTAACAATTGCAATACTTTAAATTTATTTTCCCTAAGATTTTTCTGAAATACAGTGGCGTTCGTATTTACCCCGGTATTTTAGGAAAGTTGCAAAGTATCGAGGTAAATACGAACACTAAGTTTCCTACGATTGTAATTTATCAAAAATTTTTGCTACCCCATAAAATTGTTCTATGGAAGTAAAGTAACAACTTCATGCACCAGAATACCGGAAGTATTGTCTTTTAAAAGAAAAAACTTATGTTATTGATGAAACTTACTAAAAGCGTTCGGATTTACCCCGGCTGATCCTATATTATTTTTTATCATTTTAGATGAGAGACTTGCGACACGATAATTTAAATGCTTTCATCGGTGCTTGTACTGATCCTCCAAATATTTGCATTGTCGTTGAATATTGTGCACGTGGAAGCTTAAAGGTTGGTACGTATCAATGACGTGGCCAGAAAAATAAAATTCTTCAATACTTACTTAAATTAAATAACGCCAGATTTAAAAACTAATTTTATTTAAAGTTTAACGTTAGATTCATTTATTTAAATTGAATTTAAGAACTCCAGATAACCAAGCGTATTTAGCCTACTTATGAACTGGTCTAAAGACTCCGTATCCTCCATTGCCTGCGACATACTAACTTATCCGACGAACTTTTCTCTACATATGAAGCTCTTCTTATAGTCTGCGAACTTATGAACGGCTTCTCCAAACCTAAAGCACGCATCTGATCTGTCATCTAGTTTATAGTATCTACCTATACATCCGTAAGCAGAGCATTGATGACACCGCACGACCATAACTAGAGTTCAGTGCTTCGAGGACATAACTCCAAGGTTATGTGGGGATAATTGTTCTTGTTCTGATCGACTCACTAAAAACCACACCCTTTAGTTAGACTAATTCTTACACTATGGAACTGCCGCCAGGCTTTAAACTTCGTAGGTGAAGGTCCCTGAGAACTCGCTTTCGCGAACCTTGCAACCTTGCAAACTCCTGTTCCGACCATATGGTTATTATTCACCTGAACGCCATACTTCTCTTTGCATAAGAAGCAGCTTGGGCTTTTCTTGCAGTCTGTGAATTTGTGATCAGCTTCACCGCACTTAAAACACGCAGCTAAGCTGTCCGCCACCTTACAAGCTTTTCCTATGTGACAATAATAAATCCTTCCTCGCAATCTGATTTTACAGTTTTCATTCGCGAAGTCAAGATCAAACTTAAGCGATCGTCAACGTTCGCCGCCTCTTTATGCTTTTTTCTTGCCTCTTCTACAACGTCCTAAAGGATTTTCAACCCATCCTTAATTGTTTGGTTAACTTTCTTCTTAACGTCCCTGACAACACCGAAACTTCCCTGAACCTTGACTGAAGCTCCCTTGACGAGGTTCGGGAACTTGAGTCGCGAGGTCCAAACGAGGTTGAGTTAATGTTTAAATGTCCGCGCATAATAAAGGTCAGTCACAGAGGTTGGCTGAATATTGGATTTGAATTTCTGTTAAATATTAAAATTAAAGATTCTTGGCATATTGTGAGGGGGTATTTAAGGAAATTAAAAATTCAAGATTTGTTAAATGTAGCTTCGTTAAATATTCTGGAAATTTAGAAGGAGCATAAATACGGAAAAATAAAAAGAAAGCAAATGAATTTAAAAAACTATTGAAAATTGCATTTTCTATGACATGGTAAAGCGTAAATAAAACAGAAATTAATAGACAATCATAAATACAGTTATATTTATTAGTAGTTACATAAAAATTAAATTTTTAAAGGTTGTGACCAAATTTTAAAAAAATCTAGTTTTAATATATGTGAAACTCGATGATTCCCTGAGTTCATTAACCATAATATTATGGTAAAAATTTTATTCCCTTTGAAAATATTAAATATCAAAAGTATGAGGTTCACAATGTGATTTTGTAACCTTAAATTTTTCAATTTTTTTTTAAAAACGCTATTATTAAAAAACTATTAAAAATTAGATGTTGGAACTCACCAAAAACATAAATCACTTTATTCTGCACAGAGGAACGAAAGAATTATTGCAAAAATTTATTATTTTTGGATGATATACGATTTTATAAAAAATTTTATTTAAATATTCTCAAGATTTTTATTTACTTATAACTTTTTTGTCGGTGCTCCAAAAAAATTGAGGTTTTACACAAAGATTTTTTATAATATTCTTTACCTTCCTTTAAAATCTTACGAAGGCGTTTTGCTTCGTTTTGGAGATATTAATTTTCAAAATTTTTTATTTAAAAAGGTTAATTAAAAGACTTGAAGTTAACTTTTGGCCAGCTAAATCGTTGAAATACCCGACTTTGCCTAGGTAGGATAAATCTGTTATTTTGATTTTAACAGATCAGACTGTTTGGTGGAATCTGTCTTCAATAAAATATCTAATTCCTTGGATTGAAAATAGCTTGTAAATTAAGATATAAAGCTTTTTTTTTTGCTTAGGGACTTTTGGGAAATCTGTATACTGATACCTTGGCTTCCGCATGCCAAAGTTATGTGGGGGTTGGTAAAAAAAAAAGGAAAACAAAATAAGCTGGCGCACTGCTAACAGCCCCTTTTAATAAAAAAGAAGAACTGTTTCAATGGTTACGTCAATGATGAAAACACTATATAACTTTCCATAAAGAAAAATTTATAAACATTTTTAATAATAAATTTGGAAAAACTACACTATTCTTTGTAATGTTTTTTCTATTGTTTTAGTGTAAGACTCAAAATAATTTTTTGTATTGTTAGTTTAATAATATCTTAATAATTATTTCATGTGCAGGATATTTTAGAAAATGAAGACATTAAACTTGACAATATGTTTATGGCTTCTTTAGTAGGTGATATTGTTAGGGTAAGTTTAAAAAAAATTTTAAGATAAACTTTTAAATTTAAATAATAAAATTACTTAGAACAAGCTAACTATAAACTCAAATTATATATTTATAAATAATAATAATGATCATAATTATTTTTATTATTATTTGAAAGAAATTAAAAGTTCAATTGTAATTTTTTTCCTTTTTTTCATAAATGAAAAAATAAATTAAACTTTTAAATTAATTTAATTAACTTTGGTTTTAAATTAATTAAACTTTTAAAAAAATTCTTTAATTAAATTCTAATAATATGTTTATAATAATTGTTATATAAAAGAATTAAATTTAAATTTTTTTTCATTTGGATTAATTATATTACAAATATAATATTAAAGTATAATATTATTTCTTTAAGGGAATGATATATTTACACGAATCTGTCATGAAATATCATGGCTCTTTAAGTACATCAAATTGTTTAGTGGATTCACGTTGGGTGGTGAAATTAGCGGATTTTGGATTTCACGAGTTCAAACGCGACGCTGATTACGATTCAGAGGATATAATTAAGCGATATCAAGGTTTATATTATATTATAATTAATTTAATATTCTAAATATAGATATGTGAAGGGTAGAATGACAAAAGGGGTCAAGCGCCAATTCACTGTTTTTACAGGAAGTAAAAAAAACATTTTTAAAAATTTTGCAGGTCATTTAAAAAAAACTGAGAAAACCGTTTCGATATATTAGTATGTTTTAATAAATAAACAACAATTTGTTGAAATAAACCTACATATTAACGATAAAATTAAAAAAAACTGTGGTGCCTTGAGGTTATATCAACTGCGCACATTTTCTTTAAGCATTAATTATAAAAAAAATATACAGTTTAAAGAAAAACTGGAAAATTAGTTTCTTTCTATGGAATCGACGAAATGAATAGAAAAAAAAATTCCTTTAAAAAATTGTTTGTTTTCAAGAAAATTACGAATTAATTGCTTGCTTTGGAATTGAGCAATACTTTCATCTTTAAATTCAATTGTTCACTTAGTATAACCATAAAAATATTTAAAAATTAATAACAAAATGATTTTAAAATTGTTTAAAATTGAAAATACATTATTATTATTATTATTAATTTTATTAATTAAAATATTATTAAAATAAAATTAAAATAAAATATTAAAATAAAACCTAAAAAAATAATATTTTTTTTTTATTTTGATAATATTATTGACTCATCACTTTCTTTTGTTTTTCAATCAGGTTGCAATAAAGTAAATTTGAGGCTATTTTATTAATTTAATTTTTATTAAAAACTGATTTAAATACGCAATAAAAAAGGAAATCCTTCTACAGAAATGTGTAAATGAATTTTCTTGATTTTTTTATGCAAAAACCTCATTTTCGATAAATTGGCGCTTGACCCCTTTTGTCATTCTACCCTTCATGTATACATATAAATTTGTAAAGTTAAAATTTTACTTTCTATATATTAAATTAAGCAAGTTAAATATAGAATTTAAATAATATTGAAATATGGAATTTAACCACACTTTTGTATAGAAATAATAAAGAGGAAATAGTTTTCTAATTAATTTTTTTTTTATTTTGAAATTTGCCATTAACAGCATTATTATATCGAGCACCTGAATTAATTCGAGCAACAAAAATATGTGAACCAACAGCAAGAAATTATCAAAAAGGTGATATTTATTCATTTGCGATAGTTCTCTATGAATTACAAGGACGTCATGGACCTTTTGGTCTAACCGACATGACAGCACCGGAAATTCTCAAAAGAATCATAACTCGTGAAACAAATTTACCTCCTTATAGGTAAAATATTTTAAAATTATGCGATGAATATTATATCTATTATATATAGCCATTAATAATATGTTATTAATTATAATTATGTTATTAATAAATAATAATTATTATTGTTATTAATTGTAATATTATTCTTATTTTATTAATATATATATATTAATTTGTCAATAATAATTATTTATTTATCAATTAGTCTCGGTGATGTGGCAATTTTTCAAATTCAATTTCATCTAGTTCCAAATATATATATTAAAGAAAAGATGTAATTTTTTCAGACCACCTCTGGACCAGTTAGAAAACAATTTTGATTTCATTAGAGATTGTCTAATTGAATGTTGGTCGGAGGATCCAGAATTACGACCTGATTTCAAAATCATAAGAAATAAACTGCGTCCCTTGCGAAAAGGAATGTAAGTTTTGTTAAAAAAAAAACGTACATTAAAATATTTTTCAATATATGAAATATTTCCGTCTGTTTTCTATTTGCTAATTTAATTTTTTTTAATAATTAATAATTATTTATTCTGCGTATAAGAATTTTTTTTTTTCCACAAAGAAATTTGTTTAATAATACAATTATGTTTTTTCTTAAATTTAAATAGAAAATTAAATTTTCTTATTAATAATAGTAAAAAATGATTTTTTTAGGAAACCAAATATTTTTGACAATATGATGGCAATGATGGAGAAATATGCAAATAATCTCGAAGCTCTCGTTGATGAACGAACAGATCAGTTAACGGAGGAGAAAAAAAAGACAGGTGAGAGCAGAGTAATTACGCAATTTAGATTTTATAAAATGACCTCTTTTATAATAAAAAATGATAGTTAAAAAGAAAAAGATTTTGAATGTCTATTTATAAATACAAAATAAAATTCTTGAAAAGAAATAAATTGCATAAAGTTTCAAATAAATTGTTGAAAATTTTAAAATGATGTTATTTCTCATTTCACTAGTAGAAAGTGACATTCTTATTGACCTTATAATTATAACACTAATTGGAGCTTTCATTTAGATGCACTATTATTCGAGATGCTGCCAAGATACGTTGTCGAGCAATTAAAACGAGGCAATAAAGTTGAAGCTGAAAGTTTTGACTGTGTTACTATTTACTTTAGCGATATCGTCGGTTTTACTTCAATGTCAGCTGAAAGTACACCCTTACAGGTTTGAAATAATTTCCACTTCTGTAAATCTTGAATTTTCTATTTAAATTTTCAATTTATTTGCAAAACATGAAATTAATTCTGCTCTTGAAAAAACGATACAAAAATAATTTTTGATATAATTTGGTTCAATGAAAATTCAACATTTTGAAATTTGATCAATTATTGGATATTAACGTCAATGAATTTTAAAAGAATGTCTATGTGTTCCATTGAAAGAAAAAAAGAAAAAAACCCAATGTTTGTTTTCATCTCAAAGATAAATAAATTCGCAATGCAAATGTTGGAAATCCGAAAATAACTCTTGTACATAAATAAAATAACCAACATATGCAGTTAGTGAAAAGTTTAAATGCTTTACTTTTAGGTAGTTGACTTCCTGAATGATTTGTACACGTGCTTTGACTCGACGATTGAAAATTACGATGTTTATAAAGTAGAGACTATAGGCGACGCTTATATGGTGGTGAGTAATAAAATTTTACACGTAAAAATACTTTCAAAAAAAAAAAAAATTCTAATTATAGAAGAAACTGCCATACACAATGGATGATGGTTAAATAGTGAATATTATTTTAAATAACTTTCTAATAGATTATTTAGTTTCAATCATATAATAATTCTGAGATTATGTGGGTAAATGACATTTTTTTGGTCAAATTTTTGTCAAAATTGTGTCAGAGTTAAATAAAAATTTATTAAAGTTCAACAAAACTTTTTTTTTAAAAATAAATTAATATTTATGAATCTCTGAAACAAATATATTTCTATATTTAATTCAAATACTTTATAATTTGTTTAAATTAAACATTTTTCTATGTGAAAAGTTCAAGGTTTTTTCAATATTGTCATTTGTAACTTATACTTGGAAAGAATTATTCATATTTTATCAAATTTTAAGATCCGAAAGAAAAAAATTGTTTTAAGTGCATTTTCATCTATGGTTGGAAGAAAAAATATAAAGTAACTTCAATTAGTTACAACTAAAAAAAATTCGTGTACTCTATCGTACAGTGAGTTGCATTAAAGGAAAAAATCGCAATGTTAAAAACTTAGTTTTCGGAAAGAGTTCTTGAAAATCAAATTATTTATTTTGCGAAATAATATTCAAATTATTTCTAATTGTTTGCAAGAGATCAAAATGTTGATGAAATTAATTATTAGTATAGGATTAATAATTTTTAACACTTTGGCAATAGAAAGCAGATATTTCAAATGGATCGATGGCCTCAAGGAAACGTTTGAAAAAGATCCACACATTCATCAAGTAATATTTCTAATTGATCAGGAAACTATTATATACAATCAAATTGTCAACGAAATAATTAAGAAGTTATCGAATACTATTCCAATTCACGAAATCGATTTATCAAAATCTGATAAACTCACAAGTTTGGATTTCATTATGTACAATCCTCGAATTTCGCTATTCGTTGTTACAAATTCAGAAAATGATAAAGAATTTACTCGATCAATCGATTTTATAACACAACTCTCAGAATCGAAACGCCGACCAAAATGTTTACTTCTTCGTTCTGAAGAACTTCCAAATTATCGACAATTTTTTGAAAGACTATGGATCCACCAATTTTTGGATATTACTATTATCGAAATTGAAAAATTTAATTTTCAATCTGCTTTGAATGATGTCAAAAAAATTCACTACTTTGATTATAAGGTACTACATTACAATCCTTTTTGAAATTTGATTATTAATGATACAGCCTCTTTCAAAACAATTTGGTTTCCTAACAAACTGAAAAATTTACATGGTTATCCATTGATAGGAAGTTTCCTTCATGCTCCTCCAGATGTAATTGTCTCACAAACCTCATCAGGAGATGTTTCTGGTTTAGCTATCACAAAAATAGAAACATTAAGAAAAATTATTAATTTCACGCTTGTAAAATCATCAATTCCTAATTGGGGAATACTTACGTGTACAAAAGTCGGAAGTTCAGGAGCTGTTAAAGCTCTCTTCAGTATTGAAATTCAAATGGTTGGCATGGAATTGCCTGTAGTATTTTGTAATGGAAAAGGCATTGAATTTGGTAAAGGATTACAAAATACGGGAATCGTATTGGTTGTTCCTCTCATTAAAAATGAATTTGAATCTTTAAAATTCTATTGTCAAATAACAAAAGTTTTACTGGTAATAACTTTACCTCTCTTCCTTTGGACTGTTTCTAAAATTCTGAACTTTCAGAAACAAAAATGGAGATTCGAGTACTTGTTTCGAATTGTTTTTGGAACAGTTGCACCTCAAGAACCGGAAACAACAAAGGAGAGACTAATTTTCATAGCATTTGTTATTGGATGTTCAATGTTTTCATCGGAAATTCACTCATCGTTAACAGAAGTTCAATTGATAAAAACAAAATCATCATTTAAATTCGAAACTTTAGAAGATGTTGCATCCTCGAATTTGACGATCATGATCGATAAGAACTCCCTTTTCGCGATTCACAATTCTACAGATTCTGTTATGCAGAAAATTGTTAATAAATCTTACCCTTCAATTAACCCTCAAGATGAATGCGTAAAGCATTTATTGAAATACAAAAATGTTTCTTGTATTCTGGAAACAACAAGAGAAGTGTTTTTGCTGAGAAATAAAAAAGATAAATGTGGACAGTCACTCGTTAAAATCTTCAAAGATAAATTTCCATCAGGACCAGGAGCTACTGTACTTGGTGCAGGTACACCTTACGTTAAGCGTTTTGACGAAGTGATTCAGAGACTTATCGATTCTGGTATCACAAAAAAATGGATGGAAATATATACTGCGAAGAAAGTGTCGTTTTCTAAAATCGGCAAATCTTGCAATTCTAAACAAGCTGAATCAGTGATAATAACGCGTCAAATAGTTTGCCTTCTTATCACTGGATACGTCTGCTCAAGTTTCATTTTTATTTTGGAATTACTCATATATCGTGTAATGAAAAATTAAATAATGATACCAAAAAAGTACTTACAGACGAGTAATAATTAAATATCCCAGCGTAAAGTAAAAGTTTGCTGAGTATAATAATGTTAGTTGCAGTAGACTTATAAATTTCGATATATCGATTCAACGTAATGGAAAAATGTCAAAACCAGTAAATGTAACAAAAGGTGTCCTACAAGAAGAAGTAAGTAGCTCCTTATTTATAACACTCTTTTTGTCAGACTTTGAGGAATTTTTAAAATCTGAAGGAGTGAAAGAGGTCTCTATCGATCATCTTACAGAAACCATTCTTCTTGCATATGCGGATGACATTGTTTTATTTGTGGAATTAAAAAAAATGTTAAAAGCTTTGCAAAAATATTGTATAATTAATCAATTGGTAGTAAAGAATCAAAAAAAGGTTATTATATACAGAAAAGGTGGTCATGCACATAACAAAAAATTAAAATTTATGTATGGTAAAGAAAAAATTGATATGGTAAAAAACTACACATACTTATGTAATAAATAGGACGTGATTTTGGAGATAAAAGTAAAAATGTATGTCAGGTAACACAATAAAACACTTGCCGATTAATTAAAAAAGAACAAAAGCATATATCATTCATTAAGCAGATTTTATAAAATGTACATGTATATGTTAGGCTCCAAATGCGAAAACGGTCATTAAGCGAAAAAAGCGACCACAACGCGTTGTGGCTTATGAGATTTGTCCGCAACCCGAATTTCGTTTCGTGGTTTACAAAAAAACGGTCATAACGCGTTGTGGCAAAGTCAAAACGGTCAAAAAGCGAATTCGTTTTACGTATCTTCTTGTATTGCACCACAACGCGTTTTGGCAATAAGGAAATGCCACAACGCGTTGCGGATGGTTGTTTGAATTCAAACACTTGAGTAAAATATTAAACAACAATTTAATGAAATAAATGAAATGAACAATATTAAGTTTCTAATTTAAATAATTAAAAGTATGTTTAATTCAAATTAAATTTATTATTTATTTTTGCACGAACTGTTTTTGTGGCATTTAGAATTGCATTTTATGTTTGATGCACGACATGTGCATTTTTTATCAATGCAGTATCGTTTGCAATTACAACTTACAAAACCTTGTTTGCTACCAGATGACAACATCGATGCGGAACGAAGAGTTAAAGAACTTGAAGGAACATCTTTTACATCTATAAAACTATTATCTGCCAGTACAAACTCATTTCGTGCATAAAGACGATTAATAACACATTCTTTCGTTCCTAATTTATATAGCCCGGAAGAATTGACATCCATAACAGTCGCAAACACACTTCTTGGAGCAAGTCGTCCTCTGTCCACGTCAGACACCCTAACTGCAACGTTGGTACCAACTTCAGCTTCCGAAAATTTGGAGTTGGAGAAAGAAACCATTTTTGGTGCCTGTCTTTCTTGTCCACATTTAGCACCTTCCCTCTCAGCAATGATGTTTCTCCTCCGTAAACAAATCTTGCAAATAATTCTTTCGCCGAAGTCCTGATCGTTGTAAATATTTTCACAATTGACATGAACAAATTTATTTTATTCTAAGCACTTTGTAGATTCCATGGTTTCATTTTCGCAGATTACACAATAATTTCGGTATCCCTTCGTTATATGAAAGGTCTAGTCTCTTATACATGAGTCAGTGATATCATACAAACACACACCCACACTATATCATTCCAGTTCGGTATTTCCTGATATATCTCCGACCTCGGAGACGGCTGACAATAACAATTATCAATATAAAATAATTTTGTATATTCACTCTTTCGCTGACCACATACGCATATTTCGTAGCACCCATACGTCCTCATATTTTCTTTGTGTCAACTGGAAACCTTCGATATCTGCCACTACATATCTCTGGTTTCTTAGAACTTTCATTATGACGAATGGACCTTTGAAAAGCGGGACCAATTATGGAGAAATCCCCTTCGTCGATAACAATACACTCGGTAATTCATTCGTCTAAGCATGTACAGTATTATTAAACGCGTATTCTACATCTGCAACCACTTTAGACCATGACAATCCTGTCGAGAAATTACTTAATTTACTGAGTATTGGAGAAAGCGCTTTATTTACATTTTCAACTTGTCCATTTGCTTGCGGAGATGCAATAGGTTACAGTTTTAAAAACAATATCAAATTCCTTAAGAAAATCTTAAAACTCCTGAGAAGTTAACGCCGTACCTCTATCTGACACTAATATTTTAGGTTTGCTAAAATTTTCAAAATATTTTTTTAAACCATTTATCTCTTCCGCCAACGTTGTCGACTTTGTCGGATAAAATTTCACAAATTTAGTGAATGCATCTACGACGACCAATATGTGTTTCTTTGACTATACCATTGACCTTGAGTCAAAGAAATCAATGTGATCGACATGTACACATTCAAATGGCATATTATGGAAATCAATCTTTCAACTTTTTCAGACGTCGATGAAAACGCAATACATTTATAGTATTGCCCGATGCAATTAAATCATTTAAAACAGTGTTCACGAATTTTTGAAATCTAGATGGTGCAGTCTTGAGACCAAAAAGCATACATAAATATTCAAATTGTCCAAATAGAGTGACAAAAGAGATGTACTTTTGCGATTCTTCTGCTAATGATATGTGATAAAATGCATCTTTCAAATTTATCCGCGTAAATAACTTTTTACCACTCAATACGTCAAGCAAATCCTCCATTAGTGGCAATGGCTAATTTTCTCTGACGATATATTTATTTAACGTACGAAAATCTGTACACAACCTTATACCGTCCGAAATTGTGCGAACGCTTACACCGTGAGTCATTGAAAAACATACTCGCATAAAAATAGGGGTAAATCAGAAAAAAAATAAACGTAGAGACTTTTTCTTTATAGCGTTGGAAAGCTTATTAAATTTCGAAAAAAGTTATGCCTATTAGAAATAGATTGCTTAAATAGATTTCAATATAACATGTTACAAAGTTAAAAAAATAATTGTAATTTTTGCCTCATTTCCTACCATGACTTTAACCTCTTGCATGGACCAGGAAAATCGACGGAAACAATTGTCCTTTAAACATAATTATTCCTTGGAATCTAAGTTTTCCATTGATTCCAAGAACAATAAAAAAATGTTAAAGGGTTTACCTGTAATTGAAAAAAAAAGTTGACGATTTTTGACGATTAAAATGCCATTTCAGAACATTTTATAAGATTACTTATCTTTTTGTTAAAAATTAACCACAGTATTTATTACAAATACTACAGAATTTATAGCTTTAGTTCAAAAACTTTAGCTTTGAGAATAATAATTTCTGTTAATAACAAAATATCTCTATCTCAATCAAATACATTATGTTTGTTTCGAATAAAAAATGTATCTGGGTGAAAAGTTGAAGGTTTTTTCTATTCTCATTTGTAAATTATTCTTCGAAAGAAATATTGATATTTTATCATACTTTGAAATCAAAAAAATAAATATTATTTTGAACTAAATATTATAAATGTAAGGAAAAATACAAAGTGATATCGATTGGTAATCACTTTAGTAAAATCATATTCTGAAAAAGAACAGTTGAATGTGTTAAAGTGTAAAGTCGCAATGTTAGAAACAAGTTTTTAGAAAATAATTTTAAAAATTCTTTTTCTTTTTCTTGTGTAATAATAGTGAATTAATGTTAATAACTAATAAATTCTTCTCAATCTTTAATGAAAAATATTATACGGTCCATGATCCCAAGAACCACTTAGAGGTGGTCTTTTGTTAATGGGTTTGCAAAAGATGTGAAAATGTTGATACATATAATTATAAGTTTAGGATTAATACTTTTTAACAATTCAATAATTGTTGATAGTGATTCCAAATGGATCGAAGGTCTCAAAGAAAGTGTTAAAAACGATGGACACATTCAGCAAGCAATATTTCTGATTGATCAGACAACTATTACATACAATCCAATTGTCAACGAAATAATTAAGAAATTATCGAATACTATTCCAGTTCACGAAATCGACTTATCAAATTTTGATAAACTCACAAGTTTGGATTTCATTACGTACAATCCTCGAATTTCGCTATTCGTTGTTACAAATTCAGAAAATGATAACGAATTTACTCGATCAATCGATTTTATAACAAAACTCTCAGAATCGAAACGCCGACCAAAATGTTTACTTCTTCGTTCTGAAGAACTTCCAAATTATCGACAATTTTTTGAAAGACTATGGATCCACCAATTTTTGGATATTACTATTATCGAAATTGAAAAATTTAATTTTCAATCTGCTTTGAATGATGTCAAGAAAATTTACTACCTTGATTATAAGGTACTACATTACAATCCTTTTTTGAATTTGATTATTAATGATACAGCCTCTTTCGAAACAATTTGGTTTCCTGACAAACTTCAAAATCTACATGGTTATCCACTGATAGGAAGTTTGCTTCATGCTCCTCCAGATGTAATTGTTTCAAAATTCTCATCAGATTATGTTACCGGATTGGCAACTACAAAAATAGAAAACTTGAGAAAAATTATGAATTTTACCTTTGTAAAATCATCGATTTCAAATTGGGGAACACTTACGTGTACAAATATCGGAAGTTCAGGAGTTAGTAAAGCTATATTTAGTGGTCGAATTCAGATGGTTGGTGTTGAAATGGACATAGGATTTTGTAATGGAAAGGGTATTGAGATCAGTAAAGGATTACGAACAACGCAAATTGGATTGGTCGTGCCTCTCATCAAAAAGGATCTTGAGCCTTTTGACTTCAAATGGAAAATAATTAACGTCTTAACAGTCATGATTTTACCTCTCTTCCTCTGGATTTTTTCACGAATCATGGGATTTAATAAAAAGAAATGGAAATTCAACTACTTGATTCGAATTGTTTTTGGAGCAGTTGTTCCAGAAGAACCGAAAACAACAACAGAGAGAGTAATTTTCGTGTCATTTCTTATCGCATGCTTGATGTTCTCCTCGGAAATTTACATATCGATAACCAAAGTCCAACTAACAACCAAATCATCATTTAAATTCGAAACTTTGGAAGACGTTATCTCCTCAAATTTGACAATCATGATTGATAGAAACTACTTTTTCATGGTGAAGAATACAACCGATACTGTTGTGCAAAAACTTTTAATGAAATCCACCTCGACAATTTCCTCAGAAGATGAATGCGTAATGCAATTATTGAAAAATAAAAATTTATCTTGTATACTGGAAATACCAAGAGCGGAATTCTTGTTGCGAAATAAAAGAGATAAATGCGGACAGCCACTCGTTAAATTCTTCACTGATAGATTTCCATCAGGTCCAGGAGCAACTATACTTGGTGAAGGTTCACCTTACGTTAAGCGTATTGATAAACTGATTCAGAGACTTATCGATTCCGGTATCACAAAAAAATGGATGGAACCATATTTGGGAAAGAAATTTTCCCCTTTTTCAAAAATTGGCAAATCTTGTTATACCAGACAACACGAATCAGTGATAAAGATGCGTCAAATTGTTTGTGTGCCTATCACTGGATTCTTTTTCTCGACATGCATTTTCATTTTGGAATTATGCATGCATCATGTAGTGAAAAATTAATTAATCTCAACTTCCGGTTGTTCGAAAAAAAATTATTCACGAGTTCCACGCTTTGGACCTACGCTGTAATTTTTTAGCTGAAAGTAATCCGGCCTAGCTTGTGTTCCGAACTTTCCAATTCGTTCCGAGCATGATCTTTCCTCAGGAAGTGAGTCATGATATTTTAAGAGATATTCTTAAATTCTTGTATGTAAATTATAGTAGTTGCACTTAAAGAAACAGAATTACACACTTGAATTATTATTTGTCAATGAATTCACGGCTAGCCAATCTCATTGGAGTATGCGCACCTTAATTGGCGCCTAATGGATGACAACGGTATTCCCTGAGTGCAAGAGGAATTGACTAAATTCCATATATGTATTAGAAATTACTCTCAGATGTCTTCTTCCACTTCCGACCAATCACAACGTTACTTAACAGTTTCTAAATTATTAATAATTTACAGTAAATAGAGTTTTCACTGATAATTCAAAATTTATAAGATTTAGACAACATACATAAATCTCTTTTTCTCAAGCAAAGAATTGAATATAATACAATAATTCGTAATTCTCGAGGGGGGAAAAACTAAAAAATTTGATGTACACCTACTTCATACTTCCAAAAAATTTCATGATAATTCAGGATAATTCATATACTTCAAATTAATTCAAGATAATTCATGGATAGTAATTCTTGATAATTCAAGATAATTCACGTTACTTTAGATAATTTACGATAATTAGTAAACTTCAAGTTAATTCAAGATAATTCATAGTAATTCTAGATAATTCAAAGTAATTCAAGGTAATTCATGATAATGGGTGTATATGTAAATAAATAAATAAATAAAATTCACGTTACTTCAGATAATTCAGGATAATTTATAAAGTTTAAGTTAATTCAAGATAATTCATAGTAATTCAAGATAAATAATGATAATTCAAAGTAATTCATGATAATTCACGATAACTAAGATAATTCAGGATAATTCATATACTTCAACTTAATTCAAGATAATTCGAGATAAGTCAAAATAATTCAAAGTAATTCATGATAATTCACTTTACTTCAGATAATTCAGGATAATTCATAGTAATTCAAGATAATTAAAAAAATTCAAAGTAATTCAAGGTAATTCATGATAATTCACAATACTTCAAATAATTTTGGATAATTAATATACTTAGTAATAATAGCCTAGTTTGTTTAAATTTTCAACCATTTATTTTATTGCCAAATATATTTAAATAATTTCCAGTACATCTATTATTACAAAAATGTATATATTTATAAAAAATTTTTTGTAATAATATATAAATTTTATAGCAAAGTTATTTAAGGCAATCAATTAGTATTTTAAGTACCATAAATTTAAAAAAAACTTTGTATTTCAGGTGAGTGGGTTGCCAATTCGAAATGGAATTCAGCACGCGAGTGAAATAGCTAGTATGTCCTTGTGTCTTCTAAATGCAGTCAAACAATTCACGATTCGTCATAGACCGTTAGACAAATTGCAATTACGCATTGGAATACACTCAGGTGAGAGAAGTGCAATATGTACATTTATTAATTAATATACATTTTGCTTTGATATATATCACATTTTGAAAGCATTTCAAGTAGATAGAATTAATTTTTTTTTTAATTTCTTAATTTTAAAAATATTTATAATATAAAATCTATTTCCTTTAAAATCAATGTAAATTTTATTGATTTTCTGTGGTTTATTTATTTATATTTCAATGCATGTGAAAATCTCATGGGAATCAATATATGAACATTTACGTAAATGTTCGTTTGATTGAAAATAAATTCTATTTACCACCCTCGCAATCAGAGTATTTCTCTTCATTCAAATATCAAAAGTTTTGTGGTGTCGTGAGAAGGAAGAAGTAATAAATCTTTTAAATGCTATATGTGCAATTAAAATGTCATGATTCGTTGAAAAAATATATTAGTTTAAAATTTACTTAAAAAAATTTTTAATTCTGTTTATTAATAAGAGCAATTATTAAGCAATAAAAAATTGTTTTTTAATTTACTTTTTAGATATTTTAAAAGTAGAGGATATAAGCTTTAAAAAAAGTCATTATTTATTGTTTTATCTTTATTAGAAACAAAAATATATTCTCTCATATTAAAATATAATTTCACCAAGTTTTATTAAAGTCGGAGAACCACATGAAGATTGTGATATTTTTTACATGAACTGATCCATACTTATTTATTAAACTTATTAAAAACTAATTTTTAGGACCAGTTTGTGCAGGAGTTGTTGGTTTAAAAATGCCGCGATATTGTCTATTTGGAGATACTGTAAACACTGCAAGCAGAATGGAATCCACTGGATCACGTAAGAATATAAATTTTAAATTATAAAAATTTTGATATTATTTCAATGTAGAAAATTTCTTACAAAATGACAAGAAAAATTTTAATATTTTTTTTTTATTCAAACATTAAAACCGAATTCATCTAATTTTTTAATCTTAATTTTTAATCCACATTAGGAAGCTCATATTTATGGATTTGTTTTGTGGGAAGAATTAATTAAAATTTAAATTTTGATATTTAGAAAATTTAAAATAAAATAAAACAAACTTAATTATTGTAATTTTTTCTGCAGCATTAAAGATTCACTGCAGTCGTGAGACAAAGGTTCTTCTTGATCAGCAAGATGGTTTTAATTTAATAGAACGAGGGATCATTTCATTAAAGGGAAAAGGCGAAAGAATGACCTATTGGCTAATAGGTGAGGATCCAATTATGCGAGAAATTCGTTCAAAGGAACGATCATCCCGAAGAATTGGAAATTGTTCTATTACAAAGAAAGCAATAACAATGGATCCCTTAGTGCCAAGGAGTTCATTAAAAAATAAAGCACTCACAAGAACAACATTTCTACGATGTTCGAGTGAATCACCTAAACGATTGCGATTCGCCAGTTCTGATCAACTTGATAAAAAAAGTATTCGCAATGGAAGTCAACTTGAATCAATTGCCGATAATAGTCCATGCAAGGGAAATATCACATGTCCTGGAAGATTATCTCAAGTTGAAAGTATGATATCGAGTAATTCGTGTCCATGTGTGGAAAAACTTTGTGACGTTGATGCATTTCCAGTTAAAATCGAGGGACTATCGACAAATAATATTGTTAATGAAAATTTTATAAATAGTACTCCCATGTTAAGAAATAATCATGATTATCTAAATAATGAAGATTCAACAAGCACAAGTTTTGAGACAAAGGGATTTTGGTTAGGGGCCAGTGATTATCTTCGTATTGCTTGTAAATCAGCTCCAAGTAGTCCAAAGAATAGTTCTACTTTTTTAAATGCACAACAAACGAGAGAAACTCGATCAACCGATGAGATAGATAGTTGGGAAGTGGCTCCTCTTATTTAATTATGATAAGACATTTTTTTTCAGTGACGTAAAAATTTCCAGGGTCGAAGGGAAAATTTTCTGTTTTATACAGACAAAAAAAAGAGACGCAATCTATTCCCAAAAAGAGTTAATATAATTATAATTAAATATAAATTAATTAAGCTTTTCTATAATAATTATAAATTACTACAGTCGACTCTCGATAACTTGAATTTTAAGGGATATACCAAATAATATTTAAATTATCATCCAGAGTTTTATTTATCGAGAGGAAGTTTGGGAAAATTCAAATTAACGAGACGCTTGCTTTTCACCGAACGGTCAATACGTCGAACAGACAAAATATCGAACAGCCAATACGTCGAACAGCCAATACGTCGAACAGGCAAAATGTCGAAAAGCCATAATACGTCGAACTGAAAAAATGTCGAAAAGCCATAACCTCGAGAAGCCAATACATCGAACAGCCAATACGTCGAACGGTCAATACATCGAACGGACAAAATATCGATAAGCTAAAATAGCGAACAGCCAATACGTCGAACGGACAAAATGTCGAATTTTATTGACTCAAGTAAAATTATAGTTAAGTCAATAAAATTTTTCGACATTTTGTCCGTTCGACGTATTGGCTGTTCGATGTTTTCGTTTTTCGATATTTTGGCTTATCGATATTTTTTCTGTTCGACGTATTGGCTGTTCGACGTCTTGGCTTTTCGACATTTTGTCTGTTCGATGTATTAGGCATTTTACCTTGTGACGTCAGAGGCTGATGACGTCGAAGCCTGGAGGGACAACAAACGAAAAAAGCTATAAAGAACTGTCAAACAAGTGATTTTGAGGTTAAGTTTTTGAAGTTTTCAACGTTACCAACTGTAGATGGACTATAGTAAAATTATTTGTTGTCCCTCCAAGCTTCCAGCTGATCATGCAGCCATATTTAAAAGTGAAATACCTAATTGGCTTTTCGACATTTTGTCAGTTCGACAACTTGCCATTCGACATTTTGTCTGTTCGACGTATTGACCGTTCGGTGAAAAGCAAGCGTCTCAAATTAACGTGAGTTTCATTAGTTAAGGATATTAATTGTATTTTTTTTTATTATGTCTAAATGTAACCTGTAATTTTTTATTGTTTAATTGCACTTAAACGTACTTTATCTAGAAAATTTTCTATTGATACAAGGGCTGAAAAAACTTCATCTCCACTTTCTAAGCGAAGTTAATCTTTCCCTTCTGCACAAATTGAATTATCAACACTTGCACTTTCTCCACACAGTTTCTTGAAAACAAAGTTATGTCCTCTTTTAAAATTAGTTAGCCACTCATCACTAGCTGTAAAGCCTTTTAACCCGAGTGACGTAGCAAATGACTTCGCTTTTTTCTTTATCGTGTACTCTTTAATGAAAATGTTTTGATCTTGTAAACTGCGCCTGGGTACAATCTTTTCTTTTTTAATCCAACCTGTCAATTACACTGGAGCTTTTTTTGAGAGAAACAAATTTTTCTTCACAATTAGAGGCATTACAATTTAAAAATTTTAAAACGCTGGCGTGTTTAAACATTTGTGACATTGTGTCAAAAAAGCCTTGCGTTGTGAAAATTAAAAAAAATTAGTTCTTTAAATACATTCTGAGTGAACATGGTGAGCTGCTGCGCACACATATTCATACCTTGTGACTATTGCATTATGATACAAATTCAGAAAATTAGTTATTGAACCTTGTCGAAGTTGCGCTCACCTGTCATGATTTCGCCGTGGCACACCAAAACTTTGGATTTGAACATACACATAAACTTGTACACTTTTTTTTACAAATTTGTAAACAGAGGGATGTGAAAAAATAAAATGTTTCATTAAAATGACAGTTAAACGATTTATAAGCATTTGTCGTTCTGCTTATATCTGCAGTAACAACTGCCCATATTTCAAGAAAATAAGAATCCTACGAAATGTACGTATCTAAAAGATAGTCGGCGTAGATAGTAACTTCAAATGATCAAGAAATTCAAGTTATCAAATGTTCGATTATCAAGAGTCGACTGTGTATATATGCAATATATATTATTCACATATATCAAAATGTTTTCAAGAAACTGAAATAAATAAATAGATTTTATATATAAAATAATTAAATAAAGGAAATAAAATATGTATAAAGTTTTCAACAATATAAGTACTTTATAATATGTAAAAAACAAGACTAAAATTATAATAAGTATCAAAATAATATTTCAAATCTCTTGTCTACGTAACAGTATTTTTTATAATTAAATAGTATTCCTAGAAACACTGTAAAGACAATCAAGAAGGCTAGTGCTTTTAAGGGCATGTCACTGTGAGGTCATGTGATTTTACATGGAAATAATTTCCGCAGGTTTTCTTGTAAAATATTTTTTTAATTTTAAAAACCACTTATTCAAATAAGTGAAAGTACACTGGTTAAACAGTGTAATTTCATTTATTCAAATTAAAACAGTACTTGATGGAACTAAAAAATAAATTAAAATAATTACTTGCCCGTGTGGAAAAAGCCACGATCTTGCCCCCAAAACTTCGGAGCCCCCGGCGAGGGCGCATGAGGGCTGATCCATATGGCGAATCCATGAGGGCCAACGTAGAGGCCCCGCATGCATCGCCCTCATGAACGATTACCTAAATTTTCTGAGTGCAAAAAGTCAAATATTTTTTTATTACCAAAAAATTAATGTTTATAATGATTCAGAACAACGAAAAACGCGTTTTTAATAAAAATATATTTACACTTCTTTTGAAAATTCACCTGGGATGATTAATGATAATAATCATAAAGCATATAATTAATTATATTTTATAAATTGTATTTGATTGGAAAATATAATTTATTATGAGGCAAATGTATTCTGCCCTACGATATACTTTTTTAATGCTTCTTTAAGCGAATTAACTATAGCATTGCGAAACTTATTATTTGATTTTAACAACAATAATACCACCTAGCGCTTAGTTTTAGTTTTACTTTAAATTGAATTATGTTAATTTTTTAACAATTCCTTTATATATCTTAGTACTTAGTACGAAAGGGCATTTTTTCTTTTTTCTTTTGTAAGACCGTCTATTTTTGAAAATAAATAAAAAATAAATAATATCTTAACTTTAACTATATGATTTTAAGCACTAGCTTTTCTAAGTTAGGTATTTTGTAAGTTTAAATAGCGTCAAGAAGTTAGCATTCGTTTTCACGTAGCGTGCGTAGCGTAGATGGTAAAGAGTTAGGCTGGTTCAACAATGAGCTCGACGCAAGGTAAACGCAGCTTGACGTGAACGCGACGCGCTGACGTCACAATGTTAATCAAATGGGTTACGTCAGCACGTCGCGTTCACGTTCGCGTCGCGTACCATGGATTGTATGCTGACTCTACATTGGCTGCGCAAACGTGTACGTGAACGTGAACGTGCTGACGTCACAATGTTATTTAAATGGGTGACGTCAGCACGTTCACGTACACGTTTGCGCAGCCAATGTAGAGTCAGCAGTAGAGCCGACTTGATTAGCATTGGAATGCGTCCCGTCAACGCTGCGTTTACCTTGCGTCGATCCCATTGTGGAACCAGCCTTAGGTTTATAGTCTGTAGGTCTTCGATTCCCCCCATGTGTTAGATTTATTTATTTTTCAGGTTTGCGTTTAATCATTAATTCTATGTATGAATTAGTTAAAAAATTAAAATATCCAATCATAAAATATTTTTTAATTAATTAATTTATTATTACTTTTAATCTATATCCGACAGTTAATTAATTAGAACGTTCATTAATAAATTCAATTTGAGTAAGACTTTAATTTAAAAATGGAAGAATTAGTAAATAAATATGTTATTTATTCATAATTGAAGCTTATTTATTATTAATTAACTTTTATTATTAATATTGTTGATTAAAAAACATTAAGGCAAACGTGAGGGCTCATGAGGGCGCGCAGAGGGGCGCCATCATCGATGAGCATGTCGTTTCCATAAGGGGCCACCTATGGATCACCCATATGCGCCCCTGATGGCACGAGGGCGGTCTATAAGGGCCTCCAATGGGGGCCTACATCACTTTTCCACACGGGTATTTTTATTTTTTTTATTATTTAATAATTTTATTTTATTTAAAACAAAATATTATCTTTTTTAAATAAATAATAGCACAATTACCAATTTAAAATTAAACGCGTTACATTTTTACTTTAAATCTTATTTTGCACAGTCTAAGCTGGCAGGTCAGGTTTATAGACACGTATCGTCAATACTAAATACAAAAATTAAAACTCTAAATGAAATAGACGAGTCAATGAACTTCGATTTAAACAGCACGTGATAGTGAAATATTTCTAGAAAAATAAAAATCATGAGTCTAATTTGGAAATTAAATGTTATAATGCTACATTATAACATTTCTGAAATTGTCAATGAATAGTTATAACTTCTATTTTTTAAACACAAGGTCATCTTTAAGATAAAAAAAAAAATCCTGGTTTAACCCCTTAAATCTCTCAGAATCTAATGAAAAATTATTATCACATTTTAACTACTTCATAAAATTTCTGCCTAATTGATATGTCAAATAATAGAGAATATTTTAACGAGAAAACATAAAATAAAATATTTACACATGACATAACAATTTTATGTCCTTAATAAAAATATACGTAACATCTGCATGTAAACAATTAGAAAAAAGTTTTTGTGAAAAAACTTATTTTTGATTCATTTTGTTGATTAGATTTATAATTAATTAAACTATCACTTTTTTAGAAGAAATTATCATTAGAGAGCTTAAAAAACAAAATTCATTAATGTAGTATTAAGAAATTAAAAGCTGTTGATATTAACAACATTATTAAATTATATGACAACAAACTTTTAGCATACGACAGCTAACTGCTTTCATGCAAATTTACTAAAAGTTTTAAAAAAAATTTACTTTAAATCAACATAATTTTATTTTTAAAAATTCTTTTGAAAATTTGTTTCTTTGACAAAAACTTTTTTCTCACCATTACATAAACTGCATTTATATACAGTACATATACCTATGTAATAAACCCATTTTTAACATCTAATAAATATAATAATTATATAATGAATTAAATGAATTTGTCAAGAGTATTATTGTAATATACAGATATTTTACAACTCTTATGTGTATAATAAAGTTTTAGAATATACAAAAAATTACTAATAATGTATAACGTCACTGAAACCAATAAAAATAATTAAACATTTTTGATGTTTGCATATTACTTCCTCGATTCTTGTTGTAATACCGAAATTATTCGAACTTGATTTTTTGATGTATCTTTATGTTTTTCGACCTCAAGAACACTGTAAACATTTTCAAGAAATGGTCCAGAATATGGGATCATTTTTTGATACTTGAATTGGTATCAAAGTATAACTGTCATGGCTGGCATGCTCTTATTGACAAGTTTATTAATTAATTTATTCACTGCACTAAATATTCAGATATTAAAAATACTTTTATTATGAATTTTAAGAAAGAGAGAAGCGAAAACTTATAAATTGCGAAAAGTTAAATGAGAAAAAATTTATTTCGAAATAAAATGAAATACACTTACCTTTATTTATGTTTATCACATAAGATTTAAGTTAAGTTCACAATCACAACACTTGAAAATTTTTAATTACAAATTTTTGTGGTTCAAATAGTTGTCAATAATTTATTTATTATAAATGAACAAAATTTAAGTAATGCACGCTTGATAAATATTTCTAATGCGTTGTCAATTAATGCAATTAATAATTTCCTTCTACACAATATCATAATCGACATATAAAATTTGTAAACAAACAGGGTTGGGAAACAAGAGCCCAAAATATATTCGTCCAAAGCGAATTTCAATCCTACCCAACTCTGCTTTGGACGAACATATTTTGGGCTCTTGTTTCTCAACCCTGTTTGTTTACAAATGTCATATATGTCGATTATGATATGTGTATTGCTTTATAACTTTATAACTCATTTATAATAAATAAATTATTGATAATTATTTGAACCACAAAAATTTGTAATTAAAAATTTTCAAGTGTTGTGATTGTGAACTTAACTTAAATCTTATCTGATAAACATAAATAAAGGTTAGTGTATTTCATTTTATTTCGAAATAAATTTTTTCTCATTTAACTTTTCGCAATTTATAAGTTTTCGCTTCTTTCTTTCTTAAAATTCATAATAAAAGTATTTTTAATATCTGAATATTTAGTGCAGTGAATAAATTAATTAATAAACTTGTCAATAAGAGCATGCCAGCCATGACAGTTATACTTTGATACCAATTCAAGTATCAAAAAATGATCCCATATTCTGGACCATTTCTTGAAAATGATCCAAATATTTGGATCAATTTGATACCTTATATCGAATCAAAACGTTGCATGAGTTGATCTTAATTCTTGTATCAATTTGATACACACAAGAAAACTGTGAATTCAAAAATCACATTTTAAAAAAATTTCGTTCCGTGTGTGTGTATACACTGCATATTCATAAATATCTCGAATACTACAAAAGCTAAAAAAATACATTTTTTTTAAATTGTAGGTCTCACTGGCGGACAAATAATGAAAGTACTTTGAGGCTTATTAATAAAAATTAACTATTATTTTTAGCACTTTAAAATTAAATTAAAAAATTATGAAAAATTACATTAAACAATTTTTTAATAAAATGTGTAATTTAGTTAATATAGTTAAATATTAATATTCATAAAAAATCGTCAGTTTTTAACCTAAAAATTACCGTAAAAATGAAGTTTGAATAGAATTAAATTGTATTAAAAATGAATTTTAAATAATAAAAAATAAATTTCTTACATTTCTATATTTGTAATCTATATTTGTAATTTCTATTTTGTAATCTACCAAATATTATATACACGGATACTATTTAATGAAAGATTAATGAAATTGTGAATATATATACAAAATACTTAATACGTAATGGATATTTTTTTAATAATCAACTAATAATGATAATTTTTTATTATCAAGAAGAAAATCTTGTTTTAAGATTAGTCTTGAAATCAGCGCTAGCAGTTGTAATGGAAATTGCATTGCGTAAATTCAGCCTTAAAAATGTTGCATCTTAAGTGGGGCGTCTACTTTATAGAAAAGTCAAAAAATGTGTAAATTTCAGAAATTTTTTTCTCAAACGCATTGAAATAAATTGATACAATTTTTTTTGATGTTTTCTTATATATTTAAATCTTCGAAATATAATTTTTTTATTGAAAAAAAATAAAATTTTATAATCAAATAAACGTCATATACTCGCTGCTGAAAATTTCCCATTGCGTCCAATCTAGAGTCCACAATTCTTATCAAAAACAAAATTTTTTCTTCAATCGTACATTAGTGCCTTCTGTATAAAAATAAAAAAATTTTTGCTTTTGCTAAGAATTGTGGACCCTAGATTGGGAAGAATGAAATGGGAAAATTTCAGCAGCAAGGCGTTATATATATGACATTTATTTTATTATTAAATTAAATTTTTTTTTAATGAAAATATTATTACTTTTACAGTGTATTCGTATAATGTGATTGTGTCTTTCATTGAAACGTCCACTACACTTAAAGTTAATTGAACTGCTTATTTTAATACAAAATCTTCAATAAATAAAACTTAGGTACCCGGGTACCTCGTCCGCCCATAGAAGGTGTTTTTTTCCTCAGTCCCATAAAGGTTAATATTTTTGACAAATAGGGTGAAAAACATGTAATAATTTCACTTTATTCGAAAAAAAATAAATTCGAGGAAGTGTCTACTATCGGCCATTTTCTAAATATAAACCCTATGGGAGTACCTAATATAAAAAATCATTTTTCTTCGATCTAAGAGGTAATAATAATAAAATAAATTTATAGGTTATTTACATGAAACGATCAAATTATTCATTACATGTCTTTTTCGAATAATGTAAGTATTTCCGAAGAATCGGAAAAATTACACGAATCTGTGAGTGCAAAAGTTTTAAATTGTCTTGAAAATGTGATTGTAAATGATCCAAGCGATGAACCCGGAATAACAGGTAAGTTCTGCGGAGCTGTGTCCAAATATTCCTTAAAAAATAGACAGTACTTTTTAATCAATTCTACAACTTCAAGAAACATTCCTGTCTCAGCGTTGGTTTTTTTAAGTCGTGACCTCGAAATAAACGTCCTCCCTTACCCAAAGTTGTAACGATGTCGATTAATATGGCCATGTATTTTCTATTTTAAATTCTTTGCTGATCTTTCTTTCTTAACTCGATTGCATTGGTTTCATCCAAAACGGCGTCAATCGGCTTATTAGACATAAACTCCTTGTAAGATTACAAGCTGGTTTGATGTCACTGTGATTTTTTGTGAGTGCCAAATGCCCCTAGAGCTTTATTCCAACTAGAAAACCCGTTTACGAGGTAAGCATTTTCAGTAGATCCTTTCTTGTTACTTTCATTTGATGCAAATATACGATGAAGCGATCGTTATCTCTTTTTGTCATACACTAATGTATGTCCGGTTGCCGAGTGATGATTTTTGGTCTAACGCGCGAATTTTAATGTGACGTAATGTGCATTAGCCTAACAGTGTCTAAGGGCCATCGAGAGATGTAAAAAGTAGGGAGAAATACCGGGAAAAATGCTTCTGATTCTTGGAACGATGGCTTGGTGTCCTCACTTCGTCATCGTGACTAGTATCAGACAGCAGTACCCGTGCCACATTTTCACGTGCCAGCTGCGGACACTGATAGGTGGGCAATATATTTATTGAATTAATTATTTTCGAGTAAATTAATTATTCTTAAAATATTTTGTAATTTATGAGTCTTTTATATTTTCTTTTGTATATCATTACTGATAGTGTGGCGATTTTAAATGGTGGACGGGAAAAAGGAAACAACAATTTTAATACATATCATATATCTCTATATACAATCTAACCAAGGATCATCACTCCGAAACGAATAAAAAGGAAAAGTGGATGATTTGGGTAGCATAAATTATATTTCGATCATTTGATGAGATCTTGGGATCATCAATGAATGAATGTTTCCGCATCAATACGACTGCTGTCTGATAAGTATTAATAATTAATTTGGCGAAGGCTCATTATTATATATTTTTGAATTTCGTTTTGTTACATTTTCTTTTTATTAATTTTTTTTGATTCGTGTATGTGTATGTTTTCTTAGCAAGAGTGCGCATACCTATCTATCTATAAGGGATTCTTTTTCAATCGCCCCAGCCCAAAAAGTCAATGTTCTGGGATTGGCTTCATACATTGGTAAATTGTTGTCCTATATGATAGTAATAAATCCCTAAAATATAAACTCATTAAAAAAATATTTGTAGAAAGTAGAGGGGGTTGAAGTTTTGACGTTAAGGGTAACATTGTCATTTGCAAATCCGTTTAACTATGACAAAAGTTAATGGATTTTAATTTATCTATAATGAATTTTATTGCATTTTTCACGTACTTTTCAAAAATGTATACGAAATTAAAAAAAAAAAATTTTAACCCCTTTTTTTCAAAATCAACCCTTATTTTTCGATTTTCACCCCTTCGGGTATTTTTTCTTTTTTTTTTTTATTTTCATTGGAAAGCTGAGGTTTTTTCCGATGAGCTATGTAAATATGAAAATGGGACAACAATAATTTTGTGAGTAACAGAATATTAAAGTAGGCGTCGCAGAAAACATCATTTCAATAATCGAAGCAATTGAAAAAATTATTGAAGCAACCGATGATGCCAGGATTCGAGCTACCACAAAAGGGTTAAATAATTCAAATAAAAACATTCAATTTTATTATGAGTTTGCTCATGCGAGAAAGCTTTTTCAAAATTAAACCTAATGTTTTCTAAAATGCGAAATAAGATGACGCGAGAAAGATTGTTTCATACTCTGCTTCCATTTGTAGAACAAGAGATTGCCAATCAATTGGATGATAAAGATATTATCGACGAGTTTTTAAATATGGTTGATTTTAACAGGAGAATGCTCCTATAATCACTTCATTAAATTCTGTTTATCAA